CATTTCTCTACATTAGCTTTTTTCACAGATTCAGAAACACATTCCTACTCACTTTAAGCATTAAAAGCCTTTCCCTTTGTTTTGTTTTTGCTAACTTAGCAATTGATATGGTTTTGCTTGGAAACACTATCTCTTTAAATAGGAATAGCTCATGCTTAGTGGCAATAGTTGATAAATTATAACGTGCCAGAAATATTGTGCATGCTTCTGAAAGGCAGAATATTAATGCCTCTCCAGATGTGTCTAGAAATTAAATAGCATTTCTGAGATGCCAGAAGTTTTTAATAACCAATCTGAAGAGTCTATAATTTAGGACACATTATAATTTAGTATGAAAAAAAGAGACAGATTATCTATAGTCCTGTACCATCCAAGAAACAGAAGTTGCCTAGATTTTCAGAAGGCACACATTCCCACCTAGTAACGTGTTTGTTCTATTACAGCAATAGCTTTGCCATAGAATTATTTCAGATGTGAATATTGGTTTATGCTTTGTTACAACACTGGTGCAGGACAGTTCCCAAAATCAGTTATGTGTATGATTTGCTGAAGATGATTATTTCCAGGAATGCATCTTCCTAGCATATATCAAAGACAGATTTATAGAAGTCCCTCATCATACAAGTTCCCCTCTGTCCTTCCCTGCTCAGGAGTAAGGCGGTGTGCGGCTTGGCCACTGTCACCAGAGTCAAGGCTCACCTTAGCTGAAATAACATGCGGTAATGGTGAATGCTGGTGGGATGGCTGGGATGTGACTCCTCAGCGGCAGAAGGCTGTGTCCCCTGAATTAGCTCCTCTGGCTGCCACACTGGGACTGGGGGGAGCCAAAGTTCTAACCGCTTATCAGCTGTTCATCTCCATTCTGTCACCTAGAGGAAGAAAACAACAGTTCTTTCATTTTCCTATGTGAAAATTCGTGAGGTTGCTAATTGAAGGTGTAGTAGTTCAGCCCTGCAGCAAAAATTCAAATACAGAGGGAACACTACAGTAAAAGAATACTGAGGAAGAGACGCTATTCAAATTGCAATTACTGTCCTCTGCATCTGCCTGTACATTTGGGCTCAGGTTCTCTAAAAATTTTGGAATTAATTTAAAAAAAAATATCATTATGCTTGTCAGAGCATAATGCCTTATCAGAGCTCACGTCTTGTAAGAGAAGGCCTCCATTTAATGATGTTTTTTTTAAAAAGAACTGATAACCGAGACAGTAGGTGAGAAGAGCACAGGGCAGCCCCATCTTTAAGCATTCATAAATTTAGCAATGAAAGTTGGCTCTGAGCTGGGTTGGTTGGGGGCCATCCTGAAGGGATCTGGTTCTGCAAGAACTGCCGTTTTTTTCCAGACTACCTTCAGACAACACAGCTTTTTTGTATAACCATCCACATCACCGTGCTCTGAAAAAGCCTTCTTCCCTCCCACTTCTTCACTCTTGCTCCTGTAGCAATACTTCCTCTCCTGGTGTTCCGCAACAGAACTAACACCAATTCCAAAGAAACTAATTTCATGAGAATACGGGCAGACTTTTAAGAGTACAACCCCAAACTTCTTGTTGGCTGTCGTGCAGCCACAAAAAATATTTGGGCAATGTTGCATCAAGTCAGGATGGTCATGTTTGAAGTTTCAGTTATCCTGTTTTATTTTCAAAATCCATGCATCTGTTTTCACTTTACTGTTTGCGTGATAGAAGTTATTCACATTCTTTGTCACTGCACTTATAATACTAAATTACAATTTAGTAGCTCATTAGTGAGAGTAATTGCCAATATCTTGCCAAGTAGCCTGTGTCCACTAGAAATGAAACTTGCATAAATTAGAAAGGGGTATGTTGCTTGTAGGAGAGTATGTGAATAATTTATGCTATAAATAAACACCTTGATGTTGCTAGTAGTGTTTAGCTGACTATAAAACCTCCCTTGTGTAATTAGGAAGCACATTTTTCTGTAATTAAGAAAATGAACGAGAATTACATTTTGAGGGAGTGCAGGTTGTAACATAATACATACTGACACTTGCTTTATTTTTACATACAACTACTGTAATGTTTAGGAACAGTTTTTATATTAAGCTAGAAATTGATGTATTTTAACTTCAGAAATGCCAGCAAAGCATAGTTCTTGAAAGAAGTGCAAACCCAGAGAGGTAGTTTGGGGAAGAAAAAAATAAAATCAATCCATCCTATATACAGTGGTTTCATTCTGAAGTGTTCAAAGGAAACTGGGAAGTGATTTTAAAAAAAAAATTTAAAGAGTGATTCTTCCCCTTTTCCCACAGAATGTAATTAATGAATACCTAAAGCTTCATGTGTTTGTTTTTGGCTGTTTGCTTATAAATTTTTCCTAGTGGAGAAAATTCTGATAAACTATAGTATACCAAAGGTATCACATCAGAAAGCAAAGACAAATGGAAAACAATCTGTTTTCTTTCAGTTTTAAGCAGCGAGCGACTTGGGGTCCCAAGTCCAAATACGTACACTCATGTGTCTACTTGAAATAATTTACCCTCATTCTTTGAGCTGGAGGAAACCGAAGAAACAGAGGTGTTTACGACCACTTTTGTCTTAGAAATGCCCTTACTACAAGACAGTTAATAAAAGAGTATTTTTGTTTGGTTGAAGTATTTATCTAGGGTGGTGTTTTTTCCTGCAATGCTGGTACCTCCTTTTCACACACATTATTGTACTCTGACAACGGCAAGAATCCCAGCCAAGTCTGTACTTTTATTTTCTCTTTCTGCCCTATTTTTAGTTGGGATAGTTAGTTTTCTTCCTAGCTGGCATAGCACTGTGTTTTGGATTTAGTATGAGAATCATGGTGATAACACACTGATACACTGATGTTTTAATTGTTGCTAAGTAGTGCTTACATTTTTCAGCTTCCCATGCTCTGCCAGGTGCACAGGAAGCTGGGAGGGGGCACAGCCAAACTGGCCAAAGGGCTGTTCCAGCCCATAGGATGTCATGCTTAGTCTATAAGCTGGGGGGAGTTGGCCAGGGGCAGCGGTCACTGCTCGGGGACGGGCTGGGCATCGGTCAGCGGGTGGCGAGTAATGGTATTGTGCATCACTTGCTTTGCATATTCTGTATATTCCATTATTATTATTGTTGTTGTTGTTGTTATTCTTTTCTTCTTATTAAACTGTCTTTATCTCAACCCATGGGTTTTACTTTTTTTTCCGCTTCTCTCCCCCATCCCACTGAGGGAGGGGGGGAGTGAGCGAGCGACTGTGAGGTGTTCAGCTGCCTGCTGGGTTAAACCACAACATCTTTAAATCCTGCCAGTTGCCAGCTGAGGTAGAGTTCACCTCCCACGTCTGTACACTGCTTAAAAAGTGATATTAGCACTCTATACTGAGACAGAGTACAAGGAGCGTGAGTGGCTGCTTTTCTGGAGACACATACAGAGTGTCAAGTGAGAGAGCCAAGAGTCCTTGGAGACCATGAAACTGTGAGTTCCGCTTTTTTGTCTTGTGCTAAATTGCTGGAAGGTTCTTTGCAGTGGTAGTGTACAGGAGCTAAGTAGTGTGGCTGCATTTCACTTCCATGCCTTCTCTGCAGAATGGGTGCTGGACCCAAGCGTTGGACCACAGGATATGGTGAGCAGGGGTGCTGAGAAATGGAAGGAAGCTGCCTTGCACAATGAATTAATCATGCAGCCATCTAGAACTACTCTCTGGTAACACTCAGTTCCTGTCCTTGTTTCTCTCTCTTGTATGACAGCTGTTCAAGATATAGAAGTCTTATTTAGGTCCTTAAGTAGATTTTCTGAATTTTGTAATAGAATATCCCAGCACAGAGAACTAACTGGTATCGTTCACCAGGTTTTATAAATAGTGTTCCTGAAAAAGTGTTATTTCACTGAGAAACAGGAAGGAAATACCCAACTCTAAAAACTCATCTCCTCTTCCGTAAGGAGACAGAGACATTTCTAAAACCCTCTCATTTAGCTGCAGAGTATTTTTACCACCTCACAGAGTGTGAGATGCACAAAATAACAACCAGCACCCAGAATAGCACAGAAGAGGACAAACAGAAGATTGCATGGAGAGGAAGGATCATTTTCACTGTTGCCTCTGGAGTGCATGACCCTTACTCAGGTAAGTGATGATTCCTGGAAACCTGAGAGTACTTCTAGGGAGCTGCTGAGCCTCATCTGCAGGACATTAAAGTTTAGCTCAAGGTGGAAAGGTTTTTAATTCTGAGGTGTCTAAGCAGGGCTTTAGGATTACAGCTGCCATGCCCTGTGATTATCATAGGCACTAAACCCACACTTAACAGCTAAGACCCACAACTTTTGAGCTCAGTGCAATTTGCAGAGTATTTTTTCAGCTCCTTTATAAGGATCCTCTTCTGATGTCACCTGGGCTGATGACACCTCTCTACGCTGTCATCCCACACCAAGCCAGATGCTGTACCTTTTTGGAGAAACTCTTTTCTATCCTGCCAATCCTTTTCTATGGCTGTGCTCTTCTTTCTTGGTTGTTGACCTGAGAGGCAACTTTGCATTCCCTCCTGTGGTGGCTGCCCCAGTAAAATACTGTTTGGGCTGCAGAGAAGAGGAGGAGTTACAGCATAAAGCTATGCAGTGTTTGCTTCCAAGGTAAGCAACTCTGGGGCTCTGGTTGGGAGGATACACCTAAGCTACAAAGGGGGAAGGGACTATGCAGAGACAAGGGCACAAACTGTGTGCTTTCTACCCTTTATGGAAGGATAAGAGGTAGCAAATGCAAACATTGCTGCTTGGGACAGCAAGCAGCTGCCTTTCATGTTTGTCAGTCACTTGCCTGCTGTCTAAATCACAAGCATGTGTCTTTCCCCACGTTTTTTGGAGGGGGGGTTTCCAAGTTTGAAAATTGCTCAGAAATGGCAGTGGGAAATCCCTACTATCTGCTATTTGTTGTGAGAGTAATTTCCACATTGGATTAGGTACATAGTCCTACATTATTATATAACAACTGAAAGTAAAACAGAACGGAGAGGGGGGGTGGAGCGTTTGCTGCTGTCACTAGCACAAACTTTATCCTAACTTCTCCTGTGCCAACTTGCTGCACAGCGTTTCCAAGACTTGTGAGTATTTTACACTTTTAACATCTTGCTTCTCTTTCTTTCTTTCTTGTACTACAAAGATGAGGGAACTCATACTGCTTAGCTTCCAACTATTTAATGATTTTTAAAATTGTCTCGTAAGATTTGTTATAAAAGACATAGTTTAAGAATTGTATTTAACTTTGTTCCTGGCACCTGTTTCTCTGGTTCTGCTGTGTGAGAGGCAGCAGCAAGTACGGAGAATTGGTGCTAGCTGGTGAAAATTTGTTGTTTTCTAACAAATTCAGACAGCATAAACGTGGAAAAAACAAAGATACTGCTGTGAGCCTAGTTAACATAATAAGGACACAGAGAAAAGGCTGGGAGAAAAATTGTTTACCATCTTAGTGTATACACTTGAAAGAGCATTAAATGCAGGCAGGGAACTGAAAACCTGCAGTCAAGTGGAATGCAACTGCAAACAGTGATACAGAGGTACTGTAGCTGATAGCAGTATAATAGGGAGGTACTAGCTGGTAGCAAACTTGCGTAAGCAAATGCATTTATGAGTCTGCTGTTAAAAACACCACTTTCCACCTAATGAAACCAAAAGGAAGGAGGAAAAGGACATGTGGGGCAGAAACTTGTGAAGGATTGTATTGTTGAAACCTGCAAAATTACCTGTGTAAAAGCCAGTAATAGGAAATTCTTCTTGCTGTGCACAACCACTGCCTTGTGATTCCTTCTGTATACAGCAGGTATATTTGTATTTCTTACTTTTTTAAAAGTTTGATATTGCAGAATAAATTCCTGATTATAATTATCACAATATGTTTTTCTACACTTTCCAAATAGTCACTAGCACCGCACTTACTTTGCCTGTTATGAATGTGTTTATTTCTATTTACAGTTACCAATTTATTTGACATGTACTAGATAAATGGAAAGGTATCACTTGGTTATTTTATCTTGGAAGGAGATACTTCATTACAGATCAACTTAATATAAACAAATGATCTTTATAGATCAATAGAGGTATCAAATTCATTCTTTGGGAGCCCACTGGACTGTTCTAAAGGACATGTAGTATGGCTTCATAGCCTGTCACAACCATTTTAGCTCTGTGAACTCAAACAATAGCAGTCAGCTTTGCCAGCTCTTTAGAGTGTAACTTTATACGTGCTGTCTTTAAGAATGTTTGAATTCTCTGGTAAAAAGAATATTATGGGCAGATCCATTCTGAGGCTTCCTAGACCTTCACTGAAAATGGAGTGGGATCACAGGGGACAGAGGTACAGGCTGATGTGGAGTAATTGGGTAGTATGGTGTCCTGGTTTCAGCTGTGATAGAGTTAATTTTCTTCATAGTAGCTAGCATAGTGCTGTCTTTTGGATTTAGTATCAGAAGAATGTTGATAACACACTGATGTTTTCAGTTGTTGCCAAGTAGTGCTCAGACTACTCAAGGACTTTTTGAGCTTCTCCTGCTCAGCCAGGTGCATAACAAGCTGGGAGGGAGCACAGCTAGGACAGCTAACCCAATTTTGTATACTCTATATTCTGTTATCATTCTCATTATTACTATTATTATTATTTTCTCTTATTAAACTGTCTTTATCTCAGCCCACGGCTCTAATTTTTTTTTTCTTCCCGATTCTCTCCCCCATCCCACTGAGGGAGGGGGGAGTGAGCGAGCGGCTGCGTGGTGTTTAGTTGCCTGCTGGGTTAAACCATGACATATGGATAACATAATGCTACATTTTTTCCTTCTCACTTCAGCTTGCAGTCTTTTCCAGGACAAGGCCAGTAATAAATTTGACACAGACCTTCCAGTGTCAGGTGCAGGGTTCTGTCAGCCAAATGTTTCCCCTCTTCTGTGCTCAGGGTGTTCAGCTTGCTGCAGCCAGGACAGCAGGGAGAAGGACAATCTGGAACAGCTCTTCTGTGAGACATGTTGTTCTACCAAAATAACATGTTTTGTGGTGTAAAGTAGATGGCTGTTCTGCAGGACAGCACAGTGTTATTGCTGGCACACATCAATAAAGCACAGCAGCACAACCTCAGTTGGTACAAATTGCTAGTCTATACAGAAATACATATTTTATTCCTCTTGTTTTTCACATGATGCAGTCTTGTTGCTATATCCTCTATTTCATCACTGCACCATCAGTAGGAGCTAAAACCCTGCAGAGTAAATATCCTTGCATTCATGTTTTTCATGAGGTCTTTCTGTGCACTTTAAAACTCATAATGGAAGATAGTGACTTTAAAGGTTATTTTAACTACAGGACTGTAATGCACTGCCAATTCTCATTATTATAATTTCCAATTCTCTACACCAAATTATAGTGTGTTAGGAAAAGCAAGAACATCTCAAACATGTCCATTTGCTGTGCATGCATGCTAAAATATTTCTGAATTTCAAAAGTCTTTGCTCAGAAATGGAAGGGATAAATCCCTACTATCAGTTATTTATTATCAGCTACTTGTTACTCAGGGAAATGTGTATGAAGCAACATAATCTTTTTTTTTTTTAAAGTAGTTCCCAAATTTAAAGACATTCTTCTTGCTCAACCCAGATTTCTGATTCCCATTTTGCAGGCTTTGATAGGACAGGAGTTCACTCCAGGAATAAATGCTGACATATTAGCAAACAAGCTGATATATTTGTCTCTGCAAAGACCACACTCTGGTAGAAAGCACTATTAATAGGTCCTTATGGGAATATATGCTCAAAACTCCTTTTTGAGCAGGAGTTCAAAGGTACTATGCTGGAGGTCCCCAGTACCCAGACACACAGATTATTCTTTCGCAGACAAAAGGACTTCTGATTCTGTATCGTTAACCCCAGATCAACTCACCTTCTCACTGTTTCTATGCCAAACACTGAACCTTAGCCTCTGGTGCTCACCTCAGAGGTTCCTGCGTACTGAAGGCTTCTCTGCTCTTGCTGGGCCAGCGCTGTTCCCAAGATGGGTGCTATGATCCCGTGCTCAGAATTAACCTGAAGGAAGGACTATAAGAGAAAGACGTTTCATTCAAGATGCCTGTGCTGTGACAGTGTACACAGAGATCCCACTTGGCCAGGGCTGAGTGCTACCTTTGAGAGAATATTTTGTGCATCTCTGTGAGAAGTCTAGTCTGGGATTTCCTCCACATCCTTTAGCTGATCTGGGGCCTGTTCTCCACATCCATCAGGATTTATGGGCAGCTAGGGCTAGATTTTTATATCATGATGACAACACAAAGAATTCAGGCACCTCAGCAGCTAATAAAAGCTCTCTGTCTTCCATTCATAAATTAATGTACTAGTGTAAAATAAGGAGACTGATCCTTTTTAAGCTAAGAAATTAGTAAAGAGCAGCAGAAATATTTGGAAGCCAGCAGGAGATGTACTATATAATTAAACTGTTGTCCTTGCCAATAGGTTATTATCAGTAGGTAGCAAGATATATGCATCATTACAAACCATCTTACAGTATTTCATGCTGTAACAGATGAGATATGTCTTTAGTGGCAGCATCGGGTGATCATTCAGACGTTGTTGTCATTATAGCTGCTATAAATTACGACTTAACAGTTTAATAGTTTATCAATTAACTCTAGTGCCAATGCTTAAAAATTCTTTACCAAAAAATGGCTGATTTTTTTTTGCCCACCAAGGAACTGTTTTTAAAAGCCTACTTTATAAAAAATACCTGTGGACTAGAAGGGTTAACCCTGGGACAGTTAAAAATACACCAAAGTTGCTGCACTAGACCACCCATGGCTAGAATTTATCAAATGTTTTAGGGTGCCTTTTTGTAAATAAAAATACAAATTAAGCAAATTTGCTGTCTGTAATTTATTTTTGAGTAGAGGGATCACCATATTCTAAACCACTAGGCCAAAAATGGCTCCCACTGCACCTTTTCCTGGCTGCAGACTGCCAGAAGGCTGGGAATGCCAAGTGCTTAGAATTTTCTTCCCTAGAGTTTAAGCTATAAATAAAGACAGTGTGAGGAAGTTTATTGCCTCTGCTGGAGAAAGGACTTGAGCTCATTGGTGATATCAGATCACTGTCTGCCACAGATACATGTTTGTGCAGAACAAAATATGAGCTAATGATCTTGTGAATGACTCCTGCAGCAGTAGAAGACCCATTTTATGTAAAGGAATAACAACATTGGCAAGGTTTCACTCCACATGTCTTAAATACCATATTAACTGTTAATACATTGTTAACATAACACAAAGTCTGCAATCAACACGACGGGAAATTAGACATCAACTCTGTGGCCTGTTTTGATACTGCATTGGCTAATTAAGAATTCTGGCACTTGTACCAGTGGTGCCTGCATATATCTCCAGCAAGTAACGAAGTGTCACTGTCTGTTTTCCTGCAAGGAGAAGTAGGAACCTTACCTGCCCTTCCAGGACTGAGGAGAGGTATTGCAGGAACATGGAAATCTAGGCGCCTGACATCTGAAAGCTGCAGCTGGTTACTGCCACCAACCTGCTTGTAAGAGTAAAAGGTATCAACAATAACTTACAAAATAATAACTAACTAATTATATCTGCTTGTAAAAGCCATACTGGCTCTCTCCTGAGTCATGTAGCCTCAGTTTGAACGTCCTATTGTGCCAAAGTATTTTAAAGTAATAGACATCTGCTTATCCGTTAAAACCCAGTGCACGTAGTGTACTTTAAGGACATGGGAACAGGAGTCACAGTAACGCTCACAGGCTTATCTGTTGTAGCCTGTGGGGAAAAACAAAAAGTATGGTTTGTTTTCCTGTTAGCGTACTTTGGTAATGTTATAGTTGATAGGTGGAGTTTTTCTTTATACTGCTTCTTAGCAGGGTAAATAAATCTAAGAGTGTTTCACATTCCTGAGGTTAGACTAGTTCTGATACTAGAGTTAACATGATTAGTAGGACTCAGGGCTGCCAAGGGTAAACCTACCCTGTGATGACCAACATGGGATGCTGGCAACGGCACAAGTCATCAGATTGGGGTTTACATGCTGCCTTGCTGCTAAAAGCTTTCTTTCACTCATTTTTTTTAATTCTAACTCTTTTTTTTTTTTTTTTAAATAAAAAAAGCTCTACAGCCTTAGTTACACTGGGTCTTATAGTAATTAATTATATGGGCACAAGAAATGTGATTTTACACTGGGTAGAATATATATATATATATAAAACCTCAGGAAAACCAGGAAAAGCAGATATTCTGTATTTCATGTATTATTCTTTTGTATGCCCCCATGTCTGATTTGCTGCACATTCCTTGCACCACGTTGTAAATCCAGAATAATTAATTTTATCTTTTTTTTGCCCTCCCTTTATGGCACTTATCAGTATAGTATCCACTTGCTTCTTGAACATGAATTAGTTCATTTTTCTCAAAAGCCCTGAAGGATAAGAAAATGGGAATTTTCCTTTACAAATAGAAAAAGATTGGAAGAACCTAATGATTTTGGGTCCAGTATGTGATACCTGGAGATGGATTTTTTTATTTTTTTTTTTAAAGATTGTTTAACATTCTCTAGGATTGTCTGTGTTCACATATAGGCCCCAGTGTGCTCAGTTGCAGCTGTGAGAACTCAATGCTTTTTTGAACTAAGCTCTGTAGAGGGCACTCATTTCTTCAAACTGTAGCATCAACACTGGAGAAACCTGCATCTGAGCTAGCTGACTATAACAATTAGAAATATATGCTTGGGGAGCATGAAGTATCTCATCCTAAGGGCAGATATACAAAGCAACTTAAAATCAAGATTGCTTGTAGGAGGCAACTCAGCAAATTATTGTCTCTTGTGAAAAATCTTGGTTAAGGAACTTGCCCAAGTCACAGGGAGATGGTGAGATGAAGGCAGGGAAAGGACTGTGTTCTTCAGGGCTGCATTCAGCCACTTTTATCATTGAACCCCTGCTTTTCTTTCTGTGATCTTCTGCCTCATTTTCTACACATCTTTCTTTTTCAAATAAGGACATTTATACAGGTTTTTTTTTCAGGAGCTTCGTCTTTTTAATGAACAGAATCCATTTTGTTCATAAATCCTGCGAGAGAAAAAGGAAATCTTTACCTCATACTATGATTAAAGATTTAATAACTTTTAAAAATAATGAATTCATGGGAAGGCAGTGAGCACGGGACTGAGTTTCAAGTTCTTGAGAAGAATCTGCTTTAGTGTTCATAAATCCTCCCACTTCTTGTATGCTCAACATTTCCTCCTTCCCTTCACCTCCACGCTGTCTTAATTCTTTGCTCTGCTCTCCATTCAGCCATACTACTCAAATTCCACTGCTGTGCACCAGCAGCATCACCAATTTCTGTTCCTCAGCCTTCACCAGGTTCTTCCTGTAGGAAGCCTTTTTTTTTTTTTATACAAAGAGTTCTGCTTGCCTCTGAAGCTCTGAGATTGGGTATGCTGGAGACCAACTACACAGTGCCAACAAACCTCTTCTGCAGTTATGTAAACTAAACCACTTATGAATCGGCCAAGTTTATGCAATTTTTCTAGGCTGCCAAACTTGAACAAATTACTAAAAAGCATAGCTTTAATTAAACCGTTATAAACATTGTCTTTATATGAAAGAAATGCATATTTCTGCTAATTTGTTTTTTGAAATGACTGAACTACTCTTGATGGGACTTAAAATCACTAGCCTGAGTAAGTAATTCAGAATAGGAAATTTCATCTCTAACAATTTCAGCTTGACCAAACTAAAAAGCAACTGAAACTGAGCCTTATTGTTTGAGACCCAGCTGCAGAAGGCCCTAACAAAATTGTAGGCAATAGCCCCTTTATGTAGAGATAGGACTTTTCCCAGGCCATATCTTTGAAATGATCAGTGTTTAATTTAATTTTCTACAAAAATAATGCTTATGCAATCACACATCTGTGCATGGTTGCATGTTTCTGCCTCCCTCCTCCATCACACTTTTTAATTCCAGGCCTAATTTCATTGCATAATTTGCATTGAAAGAAGCATCTGCAGGTCACGTCTTCCAGCCTCCCACCTAAAACAGGGCTAACTTCAAAATTAGAGCAGGTTGCTCCAGGCTTGGTTGATTTTTTAATACCTCTGAGGATGGAGCTTCTACAACTTCTGTAGGCAGCCTCCTGCACAAACTTATTTTCTGGCAGATTGCGTTGGGACTCCTTTTATAAAAAATACTAATATTAATGTCCAAGTAAACTGTTCTGTCAACACGGCTTCATCATTTTCTGCTGTATTTCTTCAAGGGCTTGCTATCAATACAAAACCAGTTTTTTGTTTGAACACAAATTTGCCTGTTTCTCCAACCGCAACACTTGCAAGATTTGAAAGTGAATCTAGGAAAAAAAAAAGTTTCCAAAAGAGAAGGGAAACATTCCAATTAGGTTTCATTGTGTCATCTGTAAAAAGATAATAAAAAGGGAAGTGAGCTGTTAGGCAGTTGCCATGATCCCTACTATGAAAACACTGCTTAATTGGAGGTGGTATAGTGGATTGCTGCTGACCCGACCTTGGTTCCATATGGTTTGCCTCATATATTCTCTTCTAATTTATTTTATAAAACAGAGGAGAATGAAAGTAAAATTACATAGCTGGACTGTACTGTGTCTCCATAAAAGGCAACTATTAAAAGCAATTGTCATGTGTTGTAGTAATTAGGGGAACTCTTCTAGCCCTTTATAAAAACCGGAATTATACTGATGTTAATGACTTTAATACTAGCTACCTGGGCTACAACCTCTCTTCTAATTGTTATCTAAAGTCACAAAAAATTATCCTTTGATGACAATCTACATTTTCCCGGGAAAACCCCTCTTATTTTGTAGCATTCAAAGATGGATCTCTTGCATCTAGGTAAAAATAACCCTTTTAAAAAGTCTTTGTCTTGTGTTTTCCATTAATTTAGAAGATTTAAAGGGACTTGCAAAAGTGACTTGCAAAATTTCAGCAACTTCCTGCTCTGAACGCTCTTAATAGATGGGCTGAGAGCCACTCTATTGCAACATTATACATACTTATTTTTTCAGTGTCTAGGTCCCATAATGTAATTTCCTGATCCAGATTCTGTGCTTCTGTTCTGAGTAATGTTCCAGCAGGAAGGACGCTGGGGATGGCACGGCCAAAACGAACCTCTGCTGGAGCATTGTGCAGGCTGGAGACTCAGGTAAGCATCACTTAAATATGACATTTTAGGAAATATCAGCAAAGCTTTAGATGTTATTTTACTTCCCAACAAGAAAACTAGGTAATACAGTGAATTTAAGGCTTGGAAACATTTGCAGTGTTAGTTGAGATCAGTAGCACCCTATAATTGGCATTCTCTCTAGCTGATCAGAACATGAAGTTTAGCTCTCCTTTCTAGTATTTAAATTTATCTTGAGCTTTGAGAAAATAATCTTTGGCAGTTAGATACCTATAATCCAGGCAGCTTTACTGGCTTTCCTATTCTCTCTATTCCATTATTCCATACTCAAAAACATGTGACTTGTGCGCTGTTCTCAAAAACCCCTATGCTACTGAAATTTGTTATCTTGGTTAGGGTTATCTAACAGTAGCTGAACATATTTTTAGTGTATGACGATACAACAGAAATGTTTAGAGCATGTACACTACTGATACATTCACTCTTCAAGTATCTATGAGACTTTTTCCCCAGGGAATCTTTGGGAAACTTTTCTCGTGTTCTACTTTTGAAATGATTCCTTCTTTTTTCTGTCTTTTTTTTTTTTTTTTTTTTTTTTTGAAGGACAAAACTCATCTCCTGTCCTCATGTAACTGAAAATATCTCTCAGATTCATAAGATTTTATGGATGCCTGTAGATTATTTTGCATAATTTAAATGACACATGAATATTTCAGGTCTCATTTTAAACTGTGTGTGACTTCAAGATCCATGGATCGTAGCGAGGACAAAGTAGTTTTCTAGTAGTTTTCATCCAGCTAGAGATGAATGACTTGACAATAATGCAAATTTATGTGCTGTGCATATGTGACAATTTTTAACAAGAAACTAACAGGCAATTTGACTACCACTCTGAGTAAGATACAGCGTTGAAAGTGAACTGATGTATAAATGTCAAGAAGGCCAACCCAAGCTCTGTATTACACTTAGTAAAAGTTACTTTTCAACAATAAGGTGATCCAACAAGATGGAGGGCTAGTAGTGATCCTCTGTGCTTGCTGGGATCTGAAGGGTTTTGCCAGTACCTTTCCTACCAGCTCCGTGCTCATACCATGTTGAAAGTATGGTAGCATCCAAGAACTGGGACAGACTGATTTATCTCAAAGCAATTTGAGACACCTGTTTTGTCCTGACTTAAATAGCAGCAAACAAAACCCCCTTCATCTATATAATGGATCTTAATTTTAAGTAGTGCTTACACCAGTCAAGGACTTTTCAGCTTCCCCTGCTCTGCCAGGGGCACAAGAAGCTGGGAGGGGGCACAGCCGGGACAGCTGACCCCAACTGCCCACGGGGCTATGCCAGACCATAGGACATCCTGCTCAGTATAGAAACTGGGGGGAGTTGGCCAGGGGGGCAGCGATCGCTGCTCGGGGCCGGGCTGGGCATCAGTGAGCAGGTGGTGAGCAACTGCATCGTGCATCACTTGCTTTGTATATTCTATTATTATTATTATTTCTTCTCTCTTCTGTTTTATTAAACTGTCTTTATCTCAAGCCATGGGTTTTACTTTTTTCCCCAATTCTCTCCCCCATCCCACTGAAGTGGGGGTGAGTGAGAAAACAGCTGTGTGGTGTTTAGCTGCCTGCTGGGTTAAACCACAACCACCACCTCATTTTGTTCTGATTTTGTTCCTCCATGTGGAAATAGGCACCCAATGCCATTAGGTAAGTTTTCAAAAAAAACCAAAGAGGAATGCTTATGTGGACAGAGTCAGCTGGTTCCTTGGCCTCTCGAGGTCCCACATGGAAATGTCCAGACAATTATTATTAATAGTATGAGTCACAGAGAATGGAATCATAAGACTTCAGTATAAGCTAAATCTTGAGGTCTTCAGACATTTCGTGAGGGAAGTTTCAGAAGCCGGGTGGCAAGCTGGGACTCATCTATGATAATTCATGTGAATTTTCCTTACTGCTTTCATTTCAGTTGCATTCTGCCATGTGTCTCAATGTGCAGTATGCATGATGCCTATTTTGGCTTTAAGACCAGAAGGTGCCAAACTGTATGTGAATGGCCATATTTTTGTTGACTTCTAAATTTGATTCTTGCTTTACCAACCATGTGGACCTTACATAGCATTGGGGTGAATATCAGCCAAAACCATACTTTGTTAGCTGTTCTTCCAATGACAACAAAGCAAATTAGTTTTCAGTGTTGTGCTTTGGTTCAGGACAAAGAGACACCTTCCTTTGGTGGCAAGCAAGCAGTAAGCAGTCCTGATGGGAGAGCAAATAAAAGCCTATATAAGACAGCAGGGCTACATTGACTTCAGCAAACCGAGTATTTTTCAGGCAAACAGTATGACACACAGTTACTAATGATATCTTTGGTATTTTTTTTTTTTTTTAAGGAAGAAAGACTGTGTTTGTGAGGCAGATCAAATACTGTACCAGCCCTTGCTTAGAATGACATAGAACTAATTTCTAGCTTTACTATTCGAAAGTGATGAAAAATTGCTTGAAAAGACAACTACGGGGAAATACTATCTTTAGCTTATCCTCCTCTTATGCCTTCCCACAAGGTGGCTGTGGAACATTTACTGGACCAGTTCCCCCGTTTTGAAAATGAGACTTTTTTTTTTTTTTTGATTGATTGATGTTGACCTGAATAAAAGTACTTTCCAATTTGTAAGAAGTATTAATTTTTCTGGCAGGCTGCGTTTTCTCCCAAAATATTTCTTTTACTTAGCAGACCAATCACAATTCTGTAAATAATATAAGTGTATATATATATTAATGTAATAGAATTGAGGGACTTTTTGCAAATGTGGTCATGGGTCAAACTTACAATGTACAATCTCTTACAGTTTATCTTGCCTCTTGCATGAGCATATCAGAAACATTTACTATCACTTAATTACTGTCAACAAAGTGAGGTGGTTTTGGCTTAACATCTTGTATGTTAAATCAATGAAATAAACAATCCCAGAGTGAAGGCCTGTAATTTTATCCGAGAGTTTACTCCTTTTCAACAATATTGTTCCACACAGCTTATAATATAAAGGCACCCGGGGATTTATTTGTGCTTTGCAGTATTGCCGACTATTTTATATATAAATGCTTTTAACATCCCTGTGAAGTACTTTTTCCAATCTTTTTTTAAACACTTGTCTAAATGAATGTACTCGCTAGTAGACTCATCTTACCCTGATTCTGAAAGAAAATCTGAAGTTTTCTGGACGAGTGCTGTGCTGCACTGTTAAGAACTATGACTACCATTTATTCTTTTTTAAGAGCTACGATACAGAAACCAGCTTAATATAATTTAGTATTGCTTCAGGTCTCATTACTTTGCACACACACAACCTCTTCCATTCCTCTATACATTCTGGGTTTGGCTGCCAAGAAATGAAGGAAAACCATCAGCCATACAAATGGAAGAAACCTTAAATAATGACAACTACTGTATTGCACTTACCACTTGCATACATATGGAAAAAGCGGTTCGGTGTGCAATCTCATAATGTGTTACATTCCACAAAAATACATTCAACATTTACATGAAAGGGATGCTTCTGTAGCACACACTAGAGCTTTTCCAGTAATCAGGTTTCCTAAGGCAAGAAACTAAGGGTGATAGCTCAGTTGCTGTAAATCTTACTGCATTTTTATAAGTGATTTAGAGTAATATGAAGCAGAAATAATTTCCTTTCCAAATTTATTTGCCTTTCCTATGCAGATATATTAAACAAAACTATAGTAGAGATACTTTGTTCTTCTTTCTTTGAATCCTGATGCTAATTTTTTCTGGCTTTTGATCTATTTACAGTATTTTTTTTTGAAGTTTGTGTGCTGCTTTCCTTGGTTGTTCAATAAATCTGTTTTTCCCAGGTTAACATTTTGGTCAAATTCTCAACGACTCTGGAAATGGCAATAACTTCATTGGTTTCAGTAAAGCTGAAACACATTAGGATTTCATTCTGCTCTTTAAAGAAGAGTAAAAGCACAATAAAAAGTAGAGTACTTCAAACTACACTACATCCTGCCTGTTTCCTGCAGGATCCAGTAAGTTCCAGTAAAAAGTATCGCTGTAGCATTGTGTCATAGATTACATATTTTTTTTAAAAAGCTCTCAAAATACTGCCTTACTTCACCATTTTGAGAACTGCATTTGCTATTTTTAGTCTTCTATCTATTACAAGTGTGTTACAGATCTCTGTTAACATATGATATTATTCACAGTCTCTGAGCTGAGTATTTTGCTAAGACTGTGATATTATTTGTCCAGCAGTTGCTATTTTATGGTGTCAGAATTTCCAGCTTTTACACATCCGTACTTACATCAGACTTACTGTGTAAGTTTCTATGTTTGGCACTGTTTTAGATGTTAACATCCTACCCCTAAACGCACAAAAATTTTGTCCCTAATTGTATATTCCCCATTGGGTATTTGTTGCCATGGCATAAAAATATCACGAATAATATTTACAGGGAGTGCCTAATGGCATATGTAGATCGGGACACATTTTGCTAACCAAACTTCAGCGCTGACTAGTTCTGGCTCTTTTTTGTGTGTGTTTTATTAATGTCCTTTAAATTTCAAATCTCCTGTGATTCAACTCCTTACTTATCCTGGAGAGTACACTCTGAAAGGCCTTTTCACTAATTATTGCATATTGCACCCTGAGGGGGGTCGTTGGGGGATAAATGGTCAGAGCTAACCATCCGTGCCCCACAAATGAGGTTTTTGCAGTGTACTTCCTCTTTTCTTTACTGACTACATCTTTAACTCACTAATTTTGCCACTACCAAAACTTGGGGCTTCTCTGTTTATCAATCACAGTGTTTGTCAAGAAAACCTAGCATTAATGTCATATATGCTTGCATCGGGACAACATTAAGTTGATCTTTCATAATTTAATAAGTGATTGATACCTTGAAAACACTGAAATTACATGGAAGGCTGTAAAAAGAAGGAAGCATGTATTAGCTTTTTTTTTTTCTGACTGGATTTTTGCCAGCTGGCAAAAAAAGCTTGAG